AGTAATAAAAAAAATTAAAAATATATCGTCCTCGTTCTGTAAAAAAACAAAAAAAAAAAAAAAAAAAGGCAGAGCAGGGTGGGGCGGGAAACGTTATGACGATGTTATTATTGTACGAGCACTTATCGTCCCGGAGACACCGGGCCGTGAAAATAATATAGGCACTTTGTCGGCGCGATAAAACACACCGCACGTATTGTCGCGTACGCCGCTGCGAGCCGAACAATTAACGTCGCACGGGATCCGAGTGCGCCGGCACGATATCCGACAGATTCCCGAAAACTTTCTTCGCTTTCCCCGCCCCACCCCCCTCCCGTCTTCCCACTCACTGTTCTCCCCGATTTTTCCGACTTGAACGGTTTCGCAGCCGTGAGAAACACGTGGAGAAGGGGAAAAAACCTCGCACAAAAATAAACCGAAATTCGTCGAGCGCCACGTCGACGCGTAGAATCGAAGGGCCGTTTTTCGCTATTACGATGATAATAACATCGCCTCGCGGCGTCATAAATCGTTAAACGTGTTCCGGGCCCGGCGGGTTCTGCAAGTCGAATGGCCGCGGCGGCGGTTTTACGGAAATCCGTGAACAATTAAAAGTTGTACGCACGAAAATGTCGAATTAATATTTTGCTTTCAAACTCATCGCGCCGTACATTCACGCGCGCTGCCGTAAGTCTACGGGCGGACGCGAAAACCGCTCCCCGGGTCATAGTTGTCAGAAACCGAATTTCCGGCCGCGAACCGTGCAGAACACGTGGACCGTGCGCATTGAAACGATGTCATTTCGTTCGTTTCTGGACGATAATCCATTGGATCTTAAAGCGCCAACAGACGTTTCCGCTTTCGGAAGTTTGGGCGGTCGTGATATCGAAAAACGAAAAAACAACGTTGCCCGGTGAGCCGGTTCGCTCGTTTTCGGTCGAATTTCTCCCGGGAAATGTGCAGAGAATACGACATTACGGCGACGTGCACTATTATTACGCACTGAGCATTGAGCGTCGGTAGGTGTTAACGAATCGCGCCGCAAAAGAGCGAAACCACGGGGGACAGTTCGAACGCGGTGGGGCGTAGTCGGCACCTACGCGGTCGGTATTCCTGCTACGGGGTTTCCGCTCGTTTTGACATTTCATCCGCAAATGCCGCGGTTTCGTGGTTTCTGGCGACATCGATTTGAAATCGTAGATCGCGGGCCGCGAAACGAGAAAACCCATAGAGTTCCGGAAACTTTGTGATCCGAAACCGCGTATCGGCAACGTTGTGCTGTTTGCGCACGCGTTGACGCCGACGGAAACCGGTACGCGAAAAGGAAAAATAGTTAAAGAACACTGGACATCCAGTGGCGTATACTTTACGGTCGAGTTTTTTCAACGACCGTACCGGGAGCAGCGTTCGATTGAATGGAAAATCCACGGAAATACGATCTCGGGACGGCCGTGTACAGTGCCGGCGCGACGATTCGCGAGCCCCCCCCCCCTCCGCGTGCAAATCGTAATGTTTTTTTCGTTTTACGTTTCCGCGGGTACCGCCGCGGCGAAAGTCCGGGGCGGTTGCGTTTTCTGCACACCACTCGCTCCGCTCCGGTCGTCACGGTGTTGTCGCGAAATGTCCGGCGGGAGAAGTTTCGTTTTCGGTTTTTTTTTTTTTTTGCCGCCCGCGACAAAAATTCGGTTTTTCATTGGAAAAAAAACCGTTTTCGCGCGCGCACGTCTCTCTGGAACGGCGGCGGCGCCAAAGAAGGCCAAAGACGTACGCGCGTATTTAACAACAGTGGCGGCATAGGTTGTGGGGGGGTGGCGGATGGCGGTGACGACGGCGCGTGTGTGTGTGTGTGTGTGTGTGTTGTGTACAATACGAGTACCCCGTGTAAATTTCACACGTCGGCGAACGCGCGCCCGACCGCACAAAGTGCAACGCCACTGCCAGCAACAATGTTTTTAACCGCGTCAATCGATGCACTTATTCCTGTCATTTCCATAACACTACGCACACACGCGCGCACACACACACACACGCGCGCGCGCGCACCCACCGGCGGCACTACACTGTTGTAGTGTTGTGCTATATTCACTATACACCGCGAGGGCGCTAATGGTTTATCTTTTATTTTTTTTTTTTTTCCCCTTCCCCCTCTCCCCCGACCCCGGCGCGCGTACGCCGCCGCCGCCGCCTCTCGACCGGTGTAAAGTTCTCTTTCGAGTGTTTTCGTACGTAACACAATGTGTACGTACCGTACGTACGTTATATTTTCGTTTTGCGCGCCCGAGACACGGTAACGTACGCGTCCGTGCGCGTGCGAGACCGCCGAGCGCGGCTCGTAGCGCACGTCATCGCGCCCGGTACGGAGTTACCGACTTCCGAGCAACACGTGTGCGACGGCGAACGAACGCCTCGTCCGAGCGCCTCGCGTATTATGCCGCGGACGGGCGCGGACGTACGGAAATATTATTCGCGCACGCGTCGACTCGACGCCGTCCAGCCGTCCCGACCGGGCGCGCGCCGCGGCCGTCCCGAATGCCGTACGGGACCCGGGACGACGAACAGTCTTTTGAAAACGCCGCGGAAGGTTCGGGAACGAAAAAATAAACCGATGCAACGCGTTTTTCCCGCGGCGTGTCCGGACGCCCGGCACCGTTACGACGTTACGGCGGCGGATTCGCGGGAGGTAGCGAGCGGCTGTGTGGGGGTGGGGCGGAGGTTGGCCCGGGACAACCGATACAACCTCGACGAAACGTCGTCCGGAAAAAGAGACCGTCTATCAAAACCAGAGACACCTTTCAAATACGCGCGTTTTCACCCCCCCCCCCCGCCCCACCTCCGGAAAAAATGTCGAAAATCCGCCGCCTACTGCTACGTTATAAAATTCGAGTGAAAAATTATTACGAATAACGTCGACCGTTTTCGCTAACGCAATGCAGCAACGCGCGTACGCACTGTCCGTTCATTTGCCAAACTAATATTTTATAACATTACAATAATTGTTATACGTGAAAA